ACAATACTTTCTTCTCTCCCTCTACATTATACATCTGAAAAATTAAATGAAAAATATCTCCCATCATATTTTGGCCTATTTCAAATGACAAATTAGTGTTAAGATTACATCTAAGTACATATTTTACACATGATCTATATGTGACACCTGGGAATGTTTTATAGTAGATTCAACTCTGACTCTATTAGGGTTATTACTCCAGATGAATAGTCTAAAGTATTAGTGGCCCCTTGCTGCCCTCTTGTGGATCCTCCAGGAAGCAGTATAGAAGCTGTGTTTTGATCATTCTTTAAAGTCAGTGTAAAGTAAATTCAGTGATTTCTCTCTAAACACATTATATGCTATGCAAGTGGTTTATAATGCCACATCTCAAGTTTTACCTCTGTTCTCCTCACCCTGAATCCAGGAGGAGAGAGGCCAACCGCTGGACCTCTATGTTGCCAATGTCTGGAGGTCTCTAGCTGTAGAACCATGGCGGTGTCCTACACACAGAATCCTTCACTTGCTGATTGTCATTAATTAGAATCGGAATTTCGGGAATTCAGATAAGATGGAAATCACCTGAAATGCAAATGGGATCATGTCTTGTACATTATAATCCTGAAGGAAGGAATAGCTGACTGAGCTAAAGAGCACCATATATTAAACATATAACACTTAGAATAAAACACAAACACAAATCAACAATAGACAGCATGTTGTAGGGCAGCTGTGAGTTCAGACTTATTTAAACCTCCTTTATGAAACAAAATTAATCAAAATAAGACTACTACTAATCTGGTTTTATGAAACACCTTCTGGTCTTGAATTTATACTCAAAAAGTCAACAATGGTGTCAAAATATCCACTTCGAATGTAAGGTACAATTTTTTGTATATAATATGCCACTGTGAAAAACAAAACTTGTGGTTTTAATAGATCAGAAAAGGTGTAACCTGAAGAAAGGGTTCTTGAGGTCCAGGATGTTTCCAGATCTGAAACCTGATTGGTCGACTGTGGCTGTGATGTGGATGTCATAGCTATGCCTGGAATGTGGAAAAGGTAAATGTTTGTTACACTCACAGACTGAAAACAAGCTTCCATGAGAGTTTCCACTAGTTGATCTGGACACGAACTGATCTGGAAACTGTTCTGAACCAGACATGGGAAGAGATAAGACAGTGCTACAGCAGGTTAGTGAACCTGCTTGGCCTACTCAGTGATTTCAGAGAAAACATTTGGAAGTCCGGCCTGATGGAAGCACAAGTGTACCTGTTGTTAGCGGCCAGCAGGACAGTCCCGGACAGAGTTTGTCCAAGCTTGGCGAAGAGTGGCGTCTGAAGCAAACATCTGACCTGATACCAGCGGGTCAGAGGCTCAGAGGGAGCTGTGGAGAGCCACACTGTTGACCTGCAGGAACAGACAGAGAGACATTTTTCTCACACTGACGTCAACTGGATATTTAATGTTGAGGGGTCATGATTTGAGTCTGAACAATAACAGACAAGTTAGAAAAAAGCATCTTAAAAGTTAGCTTGAATGTCTTGAATTGCTCGGATTCAAACAGTTAATCTGGTTAAGCATTTTGTTGTTTGGAGAGACTAATGTATTTCATTCTCCCATGTCTTTCCTGTCACTCAGTAGATGATTTGAAGGGGGATGAGCAGGGATGATATCCTCCTTGTCAGCAAAATGCTTATTTAGTTATTATTAGTTATCCTTTTTAATCCTTTTGAAGCACCTGGGGACCAACCTCAGTGTATTGGTCAAGGGACAAAACAGGAGAATTAAAGCTACAGTAGACAACTTTTATAAAAAATTAAAAACTTTTTGTCATTATAGCTGAAATTTTCACTCTGTTCTGACAATAGAGCATGAGACTGATGATCTGTGGAAAAAAATCAGGTTCCTCGTGTGGGTTCTAGTTCTCTTAATGGCATTTGCAAGAATCCACCGGGCCTGAACAAAAACAACCAATCAGAACCTAAGAAGAAAACTATGCAGACACTTTGGGTTGGAAGATTGGAAGGTGTGATGCCAAGTCTCATTTCCCAGGGTCCGAAAATCTGTATTTGATGCACATGGAATAAGACTCAGTCACCCATTTTTTTGTTGCCTCTGATGGTTGTTTCGTTCAGGGGCCCGGTGGATTTTTTTGCAAATGCATTAGGAACACTAGGAGGAGCCAGAGGACCTGATATTGTATTTCACGGATCTATCATGTCTCACTGTTACTACTGGGCCAGGATACTAGTGAACGTTTCAGCAAAAAGCCATTGAATTAATCAAAGCAATACATTAATTTCAAACTTGGAAGTGAAATCTGAAGTGGTGTATCTCCTTACGAGTGGATCCAGAAATAGGCCACATCGAAGCCAGAAGCAAGGTCATGGACCCCAGACCAGACTTGCAGCCATTGTAAACAGCAAAGGAATGCTTCCATATCTTAGAAGGAATAGAATCAGTAGGTTTTTTTAATTCTGGACAAATTATCTTGAACATATGTGTGTAAACATCAGAGGTGTGGACTCGAGTCACATGACTTTCGGACCTCAAGTGAGACCTCAGATTTAGACTCGACAAAATTTGAAAAAAGGCTTGAAACTCGACATGGACTTCAACACCAAGACTCGTGACTTCACTCACTCCTGACTCAATGACCTACCCCAAACCCAACCTTGGAAAAAGTGGACACAAATTCATTCCTTCATTCCCTAAAACAACTAACACTATTCATTCCAGCAAGTCCACGCTTCATTCCCCATATTCACTTACGTTACTAAGCGTCAGTTGGAAAAAATTATACCCAAAAAATTTTTAGAGTGACAAAAACCTATTGCGGTGGTCAACGGAAAAAGTGCCACAATTGCAAACACTGCAGATAGATTTTTTTTATTTACTCTGTTGTTAAAATGGCATATTAGTGAAGATTGAATTATTACCTCTCTGAACTTTAGGAATTGGGACTTTGCAAAGACTTTGAAAACAGTGACCTGCAATCTGCTAAACATATCCTAGCATTAAAATCACTGCTTGCCTCAGTAATATGTATCATTTCATCTATTTGTATTCTTTGTTTTTCTTTGCTGCATTTTACTGTTTGTTGTTGCTCCAGTATGGATGACCAAAACCGCAGAAATAAAAAATTAATGAATAAATAACCCAGTAAATACTAATATTAAAAATAGATATAAAGATGAATACATTTTTAATGTTATTTAATTCTTCATTAATTATTTCTGAATCATTTTTCTGTGTCATGCTCCCCTCTTTTTATTTCCCCAAACGTACTTATTCAATTCAATTTTAATTCAAT